TTATTTTGTATGTAGTATGATCTTTTATTACATAGGAAACTATTCGTCTCACTGTTGGTCTTGTCCTTGATTTCTAATCGTTCTGAGATTTAGGTCAGTAATACGGCTTTGTTAGTAGCCCGAACTCGACCACACTGTTTCATTGAGTTTATCCACCTATTAACATTCTACTTCTTATTTTCCAGTCAAATATAAGAAAACTTCCTGCATAACTGAAAGACAGAGTGGAAAGATATATAAGTCAGTCAGCTCAAAGTAGAACTTGGTACGTACATATATCAGCCCAAGTTGCCATACCGTATCAGCACAATGAGATAAAACTGTCAGTTTAAATCGCGTTTTATTAGAGGTTGTAGCAGTATTATCAGTAATCTAAAAGATCACGGATTCGAGAATTATATCTCAATGAAATAAATTTAAAAAAGAGAAAAGGTCATGAGGAAATCAGATCTGCTTGAGAACTCAATGTTAGACCTACATCGGCGATATAAGGTGGGTTCATTTGTGCTATTGTGAACAATTATGAACCATATAACCTAAACAGTTCAACTATTGATCATGATTGACCTATGGACCCCAAACGTGGATTCATGAATTCATGCTTGTTCCAGTTTCTCATCTCCAACCGACAACCTGGTGTAGCTTGAATGGTTAGCATCAGAGGTGCGAGATGATAAAGGAACGTGAGAATGGTTAGTCATGGAGATAAGAGAGTTATTAGGAGGTGTAGGAAGGATTTGATTGTGACCAATTTGGTCTCGTATGCTCCTACAGGTATGAAAGCGGATGTCACTTTCCTGCTACCCACACCGTTGGAGGCTGTCGGTTATAAAGACTTGGGGGCGTGACCGCAGAGTCTAAGGGACAACTGCTTGGGGCCGTTCAGACAAGGCGTTTTTAAAGAGTTAGCTCCGCTCTTTTTAAAAGGCCTTACCGCCAGAGACGGAAGTCCATGGGGTAAGGTGAGGTGTGACATCTTTAGTGTCGACATTTTCTAACCCCTTCCTTCCTGGTGAGATGGCAGCATCTCTCTGTATGGTACGCTACAGTATTTTTAACTCACGATCTAAAGAAAGATAAGTAAAAACAATATATGGTTGTCTTAAAACTATAAATTTCGTCTTCATTAAAAACATTCATGATAAATACCTGAATAGATTACTCTAAGAGCATATCAAAATGTTATAGGAGTTAACGAAAGCATAAATCGTTTATGTTTAAATGATATTTGAACTAAAAATAGATAAGTTTATCATACTCTTTAATGAAATTTTTAATCCTTTCCTCAGGAGATAGTGTAATTTCTTGATCCCTGTAGCTAGCAACCAGGGTATAGAATCCAGGCAAACTAGCAACCTGTGCAAGTTTGAAAATCACTTCTTCACAAGTTGTTCCATCATTAATTCCGCACACTTCTCTAACAACCCCATCAATGTTCACCTTGATGTCCATAAATACGACCCTGTATTGGTGCAGTCAAACAAACCGCCATCCACCTTCAGTGACAACAATATTAGGCCATTTGGTCTTTGAAAGAGATAACAGATATACTTTGAATGTTAAGAACAATTTATACTCGGTAAAAATTCAGGTTCTCTTACATACTGACGTAAGACAAGATGGACTTCATTCGCCCATGCTATCTAATCCAATATCTTTTTCACGAGCTAGTATAAACCACTTGATTTCATTGCCCTCGATTCTTGTTCTTTCGGTACGGTTCCAGGTGTTTGTTAGTTCCCAATGGATAGGCTTCTAGCCATTCGACTTCACTAATTCTAGTCAGCAGTTGTTTGTGAGTTTGTATGTCCCGTGATTTGAATGAAATAGTTTGTTGCAGGGCAGTAGGGTTTCTGGATACCAGCAGCTATTATGTTACCAGGACGGGAGTTAGTTAATATGTGCACAATAATAAGAAAGTTAAAATGTTATGAGAAGAATATTTCAGAACTAAGTAAATAAATGGTTAATTTAAATAGTTAATTGGTAATGAATATTGTGCGAGAGGACTGAAGCTTAAGCAAGGGAGAGGAAACGGATATGATAAGCAAGACAGAGGAAGTGGCAATAATAACGGGAAGCGGGTCTCAAAACTCCGCCAGAAGCTAATTCCGGTCACAAGCCCGGATAAAGGAGGAAAGTTGGGCATGGGGTTGGTGACCCCACCCCACAAAAAACAAACATGCTGAAAAAACACCAACCAGAAAGAATAATTCAAAACATTTTAGATGTGCTTTGTGAGTTAGAATGTTTTCGTTCAGAGAAGTTATTAGATCTCATGATGAAAGCCAAGTTCCTTCGAAAGTCACGAGGCTGATGCTCCATATAAGGTATATGGGATGTTCGAACATTGTGGGAGATCTGAAGACTATTCCAAGTTGCTGCAGAAATGAAACGATACAAAATGGAAGGCTCGGAATCAGCGAAACGCATTGTACTGAAACCAGCTTTGGGAGAGTTTCTGTTATACTTCGGCCATGAAGAACAAAATGCCTCACACATCCAAGGAGTTAAACTGATGCTGTCTAAACAAGCGCAAAATGCAGTCATAGGATGGGAATCTCATGACAATTAGACAAATCAAGAACGGAGAATCAGCGGGACCAGAAAAAATTCCAGCAGTGGCCTAACATTCTCTTCAACCGTAATTGGGATGAAGAACAAGTACCAACAGACTGGAACGAACGATACCTCATCAAAATACCAAAGAAAGGCGATCTCAGCAAGTGTAAGAACTATAGAGGCATCACTCTTCTCTCAATACCAGGCGAAGTCTTCAACAAGGTGTTGTTAAGTAGAATGAAGGAATTCGTAGATGCCATACTTCGAGTCCAACAAGCTGGATTTCGTAAGGATCGATCGTATGCCGACCGAATTGCGGCATTAAAGATCGTTGTAGAACAATCAGTTGAATGAAACTAACCACTCTGCATCACCTTACTGAATGGGAGAAAACATTTGATAGCATGGACAGGACAATACTATGGAGGCACTTACGCCTGTTATCTCCAATCGAGCATAGGCTGCCGACCAGTATTCTCCGACCTACTCTGTCTTGGGCTTCCTTTTACAGTTCTGTCCAATATTCGTTCATTCTTTTCACGTCTGTCTCCATTTCTTGATGTAATATACTGTTTGACCTTCCTTTTTTCCTTTGACCCTGAGGGATCCAAGTGACGGCTTGTCTTGTGACGCAGCTGAATGCTTTCCGCAACGTATGTCCTATCGATTTTCACCGCTTATTCTTGATTCCCTCCTCCACTGGAATCTGGTTTGTTCTCTCCCACAGTAGGTTGATGTTGATGGTGTCTGGAGAACGGATTTGAGGTATTTTGCATAAACAGCTGTTAATGAATACTAGGATCTTCCAGATGATAGCTTTCGTAGTTCTCAAAGTTTCCGTTCGATACAGTAGAATTGTCTTGACATCTGTATTGAAAATCTTGATTTCGGTGTTGGTTGGCGGTTGTTTCGAGTTCCAAATGTTCTTCAATTGTAAAAATGCAATCCTTAGTCTGCCGATCTGAGCCTTCATCTATGTATTGGACCCACCTTGATTTTCAATGATGCTGCCCAAATGCAAAAAGGTTTTTACATCTTCTAAAATATCCCTGTCAAGAGTGATTTCATTGGCGCATGTTGTGTTGCATTAAAGAATCTTGATTTTCCCTTTATGTATGCTGAGACCTGCTTCTGTGAGGCTGCTGCTACACTGATCTTCTTATCTTGCATTTGTTGTTGAGTGTGCGATAGAAGATCCAGATAATCTGCGGTGTCAAGATCGTTCAGCTACATCCTAATCGTCCACTGTATACCGTACTTCCCTCCAGACGTTGACGTCTTTATAATCCATTCGATCCTCAGGAGAAAGAGAAAGGGTGAGATTAAGCAGTCTTGCCTGACACTGGTCTTCAACTCGAACGATTCTGTCATCTGTCTTCCGCGCAAGATTTTGCAGTTTAATCCATCATAAGAATTCCGTATTATATTGACTATCTTCTCCTTATAAACAGCAGTTGAGTTATAAGTCCATAAATACAGTCTGCAAGGTCATGAAACTTCAGATTTATGCACTGCTGTACTGTCTACGATAGATCGGAACGTATTTAAACATATGAAAACTAAAAGTGCGTTGCGTATCGTTATTTTAAGGTGCATATCTTTTAATCTAAGGACGATGAATCATTGAATGTTCACTTTAGACAAAATGCATCCTGGTTAAAGAGTCTTTCCGTTGGTTGAATAGAAGCTGTTTGTTAAGCATCTAATTAGTCCTGTGGATACAAGGAAGCCTGGTCACTAGGGTGAGGTGGACAAGACGAAAGTTTTTCCAGCGTGTCTTGCAGGCTAGAAAGCTTATTTTATGTTACTACACTGATCAAAGATAAATCAGCAATTAATATCCTCTTGAATAACCTCCATGATTCGTACAATCGCAACATTTATTAAGTCCCCTATGACGAATACAATAAACCGAGCTTTTGGTTACACATTTTTATAATACTTGCCACGACTCCAATCAAGAAAAACAGCCAGACTTCTGTGAACGTACCAAGGTTAGCATATCGGGTTTTAACTTTCGAATGATCACTTCTTAAGGTCCTCACTACTCTAATCCTGAGGGAGTAGGTTGTAGTGGTAGCTAAATCCCTGAAACAAATCATTTCATGAGTATCAATAAACGAGTGATCTAAGCTAGCTGGTTGTTGTAAGGGATGTGTAGCACGTGACTAAGTGCTTTCAGCTAGCTTATACTCAGTAAAGCTAATTGGATGAGCGTCGATGTCGAAGAATTGTCAAACTATTTGTTTTGTTGATTTGTTTACCTTTGCACTTCAGAATAAATAGTCAACTGCGATTGCACAAACCTCAACACACCAACCAGAATTTTTTCGAATCCTTTCATTCTTGGTTTTGGGGGATTCACGAGTTAGATGAAGTCTCAGATGACCGTATCTAAGTTTTGTATTTCCGCTACTTCGTATGAACTAAAATGAAATAATTTTTTTACGAATATATTTTCGTAAATAGCTGAAGTGCATCTGAACTTTTCTGCAGTCATCTTTTAGTTGTAACTGTAACAATAACAGACATCACCACTAAAGTTATTCACATAAGGTTTTAGAAATTAGAAGTTCACCACAGTGAACTCCACAACTTCGTTATTAGAATGAGTATTCATCATGCATAGACATTTTTTTATTTCACAAGGCTAAAATCATATTAATATGGAATTATAAGGGATTTGCTAATTTATGGACAATAACTGTCGACTCGACGACTTCAATAACTCCAACTAATTCGACCAAAAATAATGGTCAGACAACTTAAGAACATTCTAGCTTATTTTTCTCTCAATGTCACCATTCAGAATTAGCTATTAGAAATATTTCTCCATTGAATTTTAGTGGTGAGTAGGTAGATAGATACCTGATTGTCTATGATCACCACTAAATGTTCCATATTATCCCGTCATATATATCAAAATAAATCCATGGTTGAGTATTTTATTGAAGGAGAACGTTGGCATTACATTGGGAGCAGGGCATTTAAAAAAATGGCAGCAACGCAAACAGAACGTTGCGCACAAGAAGTGTTTTTGGTACAGTTAAACAAAACAAGTACAATAATGTCTATTTTTCACAAATCGTATTATCTTCGTAGAAGCGTTCCACTACAGAATCATACTGAAACCTTTTTATTAACGAAGTTTATCACTTGAAAAAATAAAACAATCACTGATAGGACAACATCTATTCACCTTTAGTCCTGCGTATGGAACTATTTATTTTCCAGGTGTTTATTGGAACAAACCTTTAGAATCTTAGATTTCAAACAGAGCAGCGTAGTGATATAGCTATGGGCCAATCATCATCAGAATTATTGGGACAGTATGTTGTTCCTATCAGTTAATAAGTTCTTTTTACATAATTCTTTACCTGATATAAATTATGAAATGTAGTACTTTGATTTTTGCTTATGGGTTTCAATCCGACTTAAATAGGGATCCAGTTGTGACTACCGGGGTACTGAATACAAGGGCTTAGAAATTTCTGGTTAATATACCTGATGAAACTACTTTCATTCATCATAGTCAGCTGCTATTGGTTTTTCCTCCTGAAACTTCATTCGGCTGTCCTGATAACTGTTTATTTTCATGGATGTCTACCACAAACAATCTACAAATTTTAGGTTGCACTAATCAATATTAAGACAGAAATTAAGGTTGGTGTCTTCAGGTTTTCTTGTAGTAAATTATTAGATAATGATTCACTCAATCTTATCTGATGTTACCCATGCAGTTTATTTCCACGTTAAGTGAAGATGTGATTCAATTGACTATCCTTTGTTTTTCTACGTTTTAACTTCCATTCTCATTATCTGTCATAAATAGCTCTCTGATGTCTAGGAATACACTCATATAGTTCCTTGTCTATCCAAACAAATCACTAAATAACAGTGATAAGAGGTGATAAATCAACTGCAGAATATACTGAACTTATGTAATTAATCATTCACTCCTTGTTACCCTCCCTTAACTTGACTAGTTATACTGACCAACTGCACAGTGACCAGTTTTCTGGGGTTGTAATATATTCAGCACAAAATACTTGTTCAACTAGTATTAGAGAGGAGAAAAATCTACAACTCAGTAAATCTTTTATACTCGTTAGGTACTGGAATTATTCTATTGATTTTCCACGATACATATTTACATCACATTATTGATAAGTTGATACTAATGAATGCCGTTTTAATACACTAAAATTTATCTAATGTTCGGATATTTAAAATTATTAGATACATTAATTGTACACTATGATGTTGTTTTGATCAGTTGCGGATCAGTGATTAAGGAATGGTGAGATCAATGCTTGATGCAAAAATAAATTTTCATCTACAGTCTTGCGTTTGTCTTTGAATCGGGATATCACAGTTTTGTTTTGTTCAGTTAATAAAAACACAAGTGTTTTCATTGTCACAAGGGACATCTTTATCCGTCAAGTAACTTAAGATAAGGTTCAATATTATCTCACTGGCTCCTTATTTTTGATTATTTAAATATGGAATAAAGTTGCTAAGCATTTTTGGTGTATTAAGGTCAAAATTTAAGACCAAATCATTTAGGGCAGAGGACTTTAACTAAATTACTGAAATTAACTATTTACCAGAGGAGCTTAGTAGCTCAGTTTGTGCAAAATTAATGTTTGTTTTAAGGATGTATGCATAAAATTACTGGGTAACTAGACAGGTAATGTTGCCAATATTTGAGAAGTAGGTAGCTTAGTAGCTATAAAGGCTGCTAGAGAGCAGTCTATCATAAAGTTTAAACATGATTGAATTTTCATATTACTGAAATTGAAACTTTTTAACGATAGCTTAATTTCCGACATACTTTTTCTTGAAGTATAAAATGACAGTCTTCTCAAGACCTAACATAAACTTGAGACGTCTCATGAATTTATAACACCGTAATCACTTTTTTTTGCTTCCTGTTCACATGAGCTTACCTCTGATTTGTAATTGACTAACCAAGTTTTAGAGAACTGGAAATTGAAAAAACCTCCGCATAAATTGATTGCATCACAATACGACTTGAGTAAATCATATCAGAAATCATGTAACAATTTGATTTGAACAAACAAAAGCAGCAAAATTAATTTTCCAAACTTTAATAATTTGTTATACAATAATGAGATAAACAAAGATAGTCATGAAGGCATGTACAAATCGGTACTTATGTTTAATATTGACGGAATGCTTCTGATATATTAATAAAACAACTATACTCTGAAAAATGTCAGTCTGTTTTTTCGAATGAAGGATAGTGTGAAATTAACAAAGAACACAATTTCAACTATAAAGTAAAGTAAAGTAAGGTAAAGCAATGAAATCTAATAATTCAATAAAGTTTATAAAGAGATTGAATAAACAATGGTAAGTGAAAATGTAACAAAAACAACATTGTCAATATTCAATGTTAACTAATCAACAATCGCATAACTTTTTTTTAATCATCAGGATCAATTGAAATAAATGTGCCTTTATTGCCCATTGTTGTACCATCAATCTCTTTATATTCTCGCATGTAATTTTGAGCAGAAAGTGGACGTTTAGATTCGTCAACTTTTATATCATTTAAACAACATGTATTTGAGTAAAATGTTTTAAAGTTTTTTTTATCTAAAGCTTTAAAAAAAAAAAGAATGGGAAAAGTAAGGAGAACAAATGATATACACTTTAAAATTGATAAGACATGTTAAAATTACTGTTAAAATTGTATATAAATGTAAATTTTTATTTGTAATGATTTTTCAAATAATTGTCTAATAAATATTTACTTACTTACACCTGTTATCCCTAATGGAGCATTGGACGCTGACCAGCGAATTATTTTCCTAGTTAGCATTTATTAGCGAGTTGGATTTCTATAGAATGGGGTCGCTAACCCAATCAATGCCCAGCCCTCCTCCTTTATTCGGGCTTAGGACCGGCAGTAACCCTAGAAGGGCTCCATACAGAGTTTATCTAGTAAATATTCCAATTTAAATATACTGAATCAAGTAGAAGTTGATACAAATTAATCAATAACTAATTAGATGTATACAGTTCACAACGTCAATAGATCTAACGTCATTAAATAACGATATTATTGATTATTGTGTTGTAATTTACTGCTTTTTGATAGTCTACAATGAATATTCATCAAATAAGTTTACCTAGAATCCTGAACAAAATTACATTCCACTTTGAATCGAGTGTTATATTGTTCATATGTCAAAACTTTATCATTATTGTTTTTCTACTTCGTGATAATTAATTATATGAGGTCACTCAATATCGCGAATGTATTGAAGTTAGACATTAACAGCGTTGGATGCTGGCTCAGAGTGGTCTAGAAGTATAAGTATTCACGCGTGTGTAAACGTAATGTCTGGCAGCAGAAGATGGGGGAAGATCAAGAAAGGAAGAGTGGGAACACAATGGAATTTGTATGAAACGCATGAATAAGTGAAATGTCAGACAATGGATTGATGATGGATTGAAGATTTGCAAATTAACCGTTTACGATATGGTTTTCCTATTTTACTGAGTAACTCTGTGATTTTCGTTAAATACAATTCGGTTGCCTTCACCTGTGTTCTCATTCACTACAGCATATTAATTTTAATTCGTCACTACTTTATGTATAAACAAAAGTGTAAAGTTTAATATGTAAACAGCAGGAAAACAAAAATGAACGTTTATAAACGATAAACAAAAGTGCCATAATGATAATAACCTTGTAATTGAGATTAAAAATAATTAAACAAAGATAATATATAGTTTAAACGTTCAATAGTCCATCACATTGATATAAATTTTGATAATTGTACTGAACTTGACCAAGAAATTTACTTTTTTTTCATTCCATTCATATCAACAGTTTTTCTGTTAATTCGATTACTCCAATCATTCTTTTTTAATAGTTTTTTGCAAGCCATCAGTATATGAACCGATAACCAGTAAGGTAGGTATGCGTTGAAACCTAACCTAACTAAACTGAAATTGATTTTATCCCTAATATCTACGTTCATTTAGAATGATGTAAATTTAATCTTTGATGTCAACAGATACATCTACAAGCAACTAGTTGTACATAATGACGAGAAATAAAACTAGTTATATAAGTTAACGAAGTAAGTATTTCTCTGAATTTATAGAAAATCGATTATAAAAATGAAAATCAAGTGAACAATTGAACCATTGTGATCAATGAATCTGACATGATTTAAAAACTCTTATGAATGAACATGAATACTTTATGACTATCTCAGTATCGATTTGAATAAAACAAAGTGTACTCCATCGAAAATTAAAGTTTACGGGTAATTTTAAGTTACAAGGTTTAACCAATGGTATACCATGGAATGTGGATACTTTTACTTACCGATTAAATCTTTGATTGGACCATTACACCCTTCATATTCTTCTGGCATGATTTGTTTCAAACCAGGTACTTTTTTATAAGCTTTTCCAGTATCATCTTTAATTCGTAAAATCTAATTGTATTAAAATTTTATGTGAATATTGTAAAAGTGAGAAAGTGTTATTAGACGAAATACATTGAATTTAATGATTCTTTTATTCACTAAAATATTAAGGTGTGGTACTATGTTTTATCACACTTACCAACAAGATATATAGCTGGATTAGTTCACATTATGATATTTGAATCCATGTTAATTAATTAATTACCACTGAGTTATTTACCGACAGACTATTATCCTACGTATGTTAAAAATGAGATCATAAACCGAGTAAACTGGTATGTCAAGTTTCCTTCCAGCTTAATGGCCATAATGTAGACAGGACCGTTTAAATTTGATCAAGATCGATGAGTAGATAATTTAGACTTTAATACCGTTAGATACCAGCTCGGTGTTCTAGGGATTAAGTACTCGATTGGTTTGATTTCCGCTTTGCGGGGTTGTGGATGTGCACTTCTGATGAGTCCCAAACTATGACTATACGAATATCCAATACTTCCAAGGTTCTAATGGTGGTCTAAGGTTGATCTATTCATGATTTTAATGAAACTCAACAGTCTCCACAACCCTATAATATGATAATGTGTTATTTGTATTTCAGAAATTGAAGAATCAGCATTTAGACGGTATACAGATAGATGTCACTGAATTTTGAGTAAAGTTTTTTTCAATATCTAATACTATCTACTAACAAATATGTAAGTAATATCTTATAAAATAACCCTAATAAACCATGTTTTTAAATTTGCCAAGTTCAAATGAACAGATCAATAAACCCATGCTGATATGGATAGACCAGAGGCATCTAAAGAAATGATGTTTATTAAGTGTTTTAACAGTTAATCCATACATATTATTGGTAGTAGGTTTACATCACAGATTAGCGCACTATTCTGATCTAAAAGTCAGTGAACATTGATTTCCGCCTAGTTTGGAATAGTCATCACATGATACGAGATTCAAGACAGGACCTTAAGGTCTCACATGGCAATAATAATCTCATAGCATTGTGTTAGTATTTTATAGTTCACATTTTTAATTACAATCATTTAGCAATGAGTTATTGCTGTTAATATCATCTCTTTGAAGTTCAGTAACTCTTCTCAAAGCTAATTATTTTAAAAATAAATATTGTCAGTTTCTGATCAAGACTATCTTCGAACTAAATTATTTCTAAAAACCTCTTATTTTACTGAATATCATTACTCAACCATTGTGACTGTACTCAATGAACCCATTGAACTGCTGTCAGAAATGGTTAGATCTGTAATCAGTATGCGTTTATACACGATAGAAACGTCCCTAGGAGAGCCAAAAAATAGCGTACTAAAATAACACATCAACCAATGACAGTCAGGGATTTTCCTGGTGGAAAATGTAATCTCAAGGCCAAATGATCAGCCTATGAATAAAATCCAAAATTAGGACCATTATCAAGTGAGTTCTGGGGATCTAATGTCCCCAACAGTTAGACGATACATTACAACAAATTATGAGCATTACTTTATAGTTAAACAAAAAACAGACCAGAATAAAAATTAGAAAAAGACTTACTCGTTGACGCATTTTATCACTTAACCAAAATTCAAAAAGTTTGAAACCTATATCGAATGCTTTTGATTCTTTATAAAATATTAAATGTTTAGTACGTCCAGGAGTGGCTTCCTTGAGTAAGTAAGAAAATCAAACAGAAACAAAAGCAATATTTATATGATTAATTTGTAAGTTGTAAGTTATGCCTAATTTATAACAAGAAGTGTAATGAGAATCGTTGTCATTTAGTGAATAGGTCACATTGCTGCATGATTTAGTTTTTTTCCAGTATGCAAAAAGAAAACGAGGTGAGTTACACATACTTATAGTTGGTAGTTCCCTGATGAGATTTAAAATCGACACCGATTAGTTCCAAATATGTTCCTAGGGTTATAGTATGGAAAGCGGGGCAAAACAAAAAGGGTAATTTGGTATTCTGATTGATCGGTAAGTGATAATGAATGTTATATTTGTTTTTCTTCCTCTTAATACTGATAGAATACTGATCACGAAGTTACACTGTGGCCATTAGTCTAAGTAATAGTGTTTAGAAGAAGTTTTAATTTTAAGTATTTGCAGAAAATTGGTTGGCAGATCAAAGTTTCAGCAAATAAAATCGGATAACCTGAAGGAACCGATGTTTCCTCTCAACTTCACAGTAAGAAACATTAATTCTGAGCTATTTCGGCCATTAACTGCTTAGAATCGTCCAAATGAGCTACTTCAATTTTAACATCATTTCGATTTGGATTGCAAACTGTTTAGTCCTGATGTGAATGTTGGGGATGTTAGATCCCCAAAACTCGCTTGATAATTTGGTATTCTGGTTGATCACTGAGTGGTAATGAATGTTATGTTTGTTTTTTTCCCTTAATACTGATAGAATACTGTTCACTTTTTCTTTAAAGAAATCCCGATTACTTGTTGAAACTAGTAGTTCCAAATACAGATCCTTATAAAACCAACAGTGCAGTCTGCCTTCCAAAATCAGGCTTCAGTAACACTTAATTTCGGTTCATCTGTTCTTAGATCATATAATGAGCCTGAAGCACAACTGTAAGTGAGTTCAGAACCATTTTTAGCCATATTTCTGTTGGAGACGTTGGATTCCCAAAACTGGCTTGTTAAATGCCTTATTTTGGATTTCACGTCTGCGAGCATGGTCTTATCAGTTGACCTTGAGATTTCATTTCCCACCAGGAAAATCCATGGCTGTGATTGGCTGCTGTGTCTTAAGTATGCTATTTTTGTGACTGTCCCAAGGACGTTTCTATGATGTATAAATAAACGAGAGTTGTCTGCTTGATTGTATTGTGATTGCTGGGTGTTTGTAGAATATACTTTCTACGCTTACCAAGCCTTCTGTTTACAGCTTGCGATTCAAGGTAGCCTATTTGGACGCTGGTAATTGACTTGTTCGCGTTTATCGACTAAGGTGGACTCGTAATAGCTTCAAGCGTACCAAGTGACGAGCGTAAAAGTGAATAGCTTGTAAGATATTTAATTTAATGATTAGTGTGTATCTATTTGAAAATAATTATTCCCACGAATTGGCAAAATTACTGAAGCGTGTATAATTGTTTTACATTGCCCTACAACTCTTCAATAATTCATACTCACATGGAATAAAAACCTAGAAGCTTTAGGTTTCGAAACTATCAACATAGATTGGTCCAAATTAGTGAATTTAATTAACTTAGAGTATAGAGCAACCTTTATTCAAGTTGATCAATGATTTAGAATCGGTTAGTTCGATAAATTAGAGTTTTATCAATAGAACTTAAAGAAATCCAACTAATCAAACTTGTCAACAGTCAAGATACAATTATTGTTATTTTTAAGTGACTTGCATTATGGGGTTGTGAAGATTGTTAAGTTTTTTTTGAAACCATGAATCGATCAATGTTAGACCACCATTAGAAACCTGGAAGCACTGGACGTCCTGGTATCGGACTCCTCAACAGTGCGCATCCACGACTCCTGCACCCAGCAGGTTTCGAACCCAGGACCTTTGGTATTAGATTTTGGTGGTGTGTAGAGCAATGGGATTATTAATAATCTTTATTATAAAACGAAACTGCCATTTACCTGTAATAATTTTACTGAACTTTTCGCTGTTTTTGGATCAGTCCATTCACCCATTTGTTTATTTGTTAATCCTGATAAATCAATAAATATACCGACTCCGCCAATTTGACATTGTTCATCTAATATAAAACGTTCAAAGCTCATATTATTCAAAGCTCTCATTTGTGTTTGTGTTAAACAATCGGGTTTCCAAGCCTCTTTTGAGAAGAAAAAAGGTTATTGATTATCATAGTGTTGTTTGTTTTTTTGTTTAAAGGAACTTACTCAACCTGAGTATAAACATGTGTACTCCACTGTCTACGACACCCAATGGAACAAAAATGCTGAATTAGGAGAAAGAAATCAAGGTATATAAATGTGTATGGAATTATTTTTTTAAATATGATACTACTTGATAAATTTTAAACAATAAATATATTGAAATTAGAACATACAATATACAATGACTATGTGAAATAGAGTAGAGATTAAACGAATTACTGAGATTTATTGTTTTTATTTATTTTAGGGCAGTATCTATCAAAGACAAATGGGTGAGGTCGCACAAAATCCCTTCTTCAATCAGAGTTAGACATTAACACCGTTGGATGCCGGTCCAGTGGTCCAATGGTTAGGCGTTCGCGCACAGTACTGAAGGTCCCGGGTTCGAATCTTGCGGGGAGGAGGAGTCGTGGACGCGAAGTGCTGATGAGTCCCATACCAGGACGAAAAGTGCTTCCAGATTTCTAATGGTGGTGGTCTAACAATGATTGATTGATGATTTTATTTATTTATTTTTGATTAGGGTTATCGAAATCAGTGTTTTTACAAACTGAATTTATCAATCAATTAATCAATCATTGTTAGACCACCATTAGAAACCAAGAAGCACTGGTTGGCCGTTTCGTCCTGGTGTGGGACTCATCAGCATTTCACTTCCACTACTGCCGCTACTTGCAGGAATAGAGCCAAGGACCTCCGATCTTGAGTGTAAACGCTTCATTTCATTCATATAGACAGACTACTGGCTTTTGATTAGATGAATTGAAATCATACTGTTCACCTTGAGATGATGAGGCCTCTTTTTGACTACTTAAAGAGTTCCGAATTTTCAATTTTAAGAAATTTAAAACAACAATAAATTATCTATTTAGAGTCTACTAGTTTTCAATGATTTATTGGAGAATCTGTTAATCGATCCGACTTCATACTATTACAGTTCATGGTCACTATGTAATGTCTAATGTCTCAAACCCTTTTTCATTTACTTTGATAGAAATCAACAGCCGGTTATCAAACTTTGTAGAACAGTTGTTTTAATCTTTCTAATGAAACGTGGAAAAACTTTCAGATCGTGACACAAAATAATTCAAAACCAAAAGGATGTTCGCAGTCGTTAAGTTCTAAGACAAGCAACATCAAATTATACAGTCATCATAATACATTGAATAACACGTTCAAGGTCGCTTCCCACGACAGAGTTGGTTGGAGAAAACTGGTGGGCGGCCTATGCTCCATTGGGGGTAACAGGCGTAAGTAAGTAAGTAAGTCAAGGTCGCTTAGTTCATGATTATTATTGATTACAAATGGTCTATTTATTCGCTGAATGATTTGGATACTTTAATCATTTATCTGTCTCGTTGGTCACATTGAACTCAAAACTTCATAGTGATTGATGGGACTAATGCTTTATTTTAGATTTATACTAATATGCTACTGGGATTTCAGTAAATATAACTAATTATCAGATAGTGAAAAATCAGGAGCCTATTACAAACAACAAGACCTCTTAACACTGAAGATCCACAACCCAGTATGAATCAAAATTAGGACCTCATCGACCTTCATGGGGGAATACTCAGTTCGTAGACTATTAATTCATTGAATGATGTAAACTGTAAATTGAACAATTTCTACTTATATATAGAAAAACAATAGTAATTATTATTTACTTACCCAGCATCTAAATATGCGTCTACAATTGGATCAGTTAATTTTGGATAATTATACCAATCGGTAATGCCATGTTTACTTAAACAACGTATACTACAGAAATTATCAATACGTTTCTGTGCAACTGAATGATCGTAATGAGCATAACGTAGAAAACTAAGTAAAAAAGCATCATCTGAATGTTGTTTTTTTTGGCGGGATATTAATTTTTTTGAAAAAAAGGCGGGAAAACAAAAATTAGGATAAAGTTATATCAAATGAAATCATAACAAACAATAATTGAAAAATATACAAAAATAAAATCGTTTAAGATAAATTACTGAAGAAAATAGTTGGATTCAAAGTGATTTGATATTCGTTATTGATTAATTTAAATGATTAGGTATCATGATAATCATCATCTTACTTACTTACTTACTTACGCCTGTTACCCCCAATGGAGCATAGGCCGCAAACCAGTTTTCTCCAACCAACTCTGTCCTAGGCATCCCTTTCCAGTTCTGTCAAATGTTTGTTCATTCCTCTCATATCTTTCTCTATTTCTCGGCGTAGTGTGTTCCTTGGCCTTCCTCTTTTCCTTTTGCCTTGACGGTTCCATGTGAGGGCTTGTCTTGTGAGGCAGTTAGGTGCTTTTCATAGTGTGTGTCCTATCCACTTCCACCGCTTCTTCCTGATTTCCTCCTCCACTGGAATCTGGTTTGTTCTCTCCCACAGTACGTTGTTGCTGATGGTGTCTGGCCAACGAATATGAAGTATATTGCGTAGACAACTGTTCATAAATACTTGTATCTTCTGGATGATGCCTTTCGTAGTTCTCCATGTTTCCACTCCATACAGTAGAACTGTCTTGACATTTGTATTGAAAATCCTGATTTCTGTTTCGGTTGGTTGTTGTTTGGAGTTCCAGATATTTTTCAACTGTAGAAATGAAGCTCTCGCTTTGCTAATCCGCGCCCTCACATCTGCATCGGATCCACCTTGATTGTCGATTATGCTGCCAAGATATGTGAAGGTGTTAACGTCCTCCAAGGCATCTCCATGAAGAGTGATTTGGTTGGTGCATGTTGTGTTGCATCATCATCTTACACATTGTTTTCAATCAATTTTAAGGAATCATTAATTTGTACTAGTTTTTTTAAATCTTTCCATTGATGTTTAAGACTAAAATTGATTATTAGCTAAATGAATGGCTTGATAGGGTTTAAAGCGAAAGTCACTGGGTTTTAATTCCTGGGTAAGCATGAACTCTGAGATGCTGGTTGAAGACTCCCTAATAATACGAAACGCGTATTCTGGATTCAATTGATAGCTGCCATGAATCTATGCTTTTCATGAAAAATAATATTCATTAGTTCGGTAATAAACTTGATAACTATATTACAAGTGTCAAGACATTTCTACTGTATGAGGCGGGAAGTTGGAGAACTACGAAAGTCATCATCCAGAAGATACAAGTACTTATTAACAGTTGCATACACAAAATACTTTGGATTTGTTAGTCACACTATCAGTAATAACCTACTATGGGAAAGTACAAACCAGATCTCAGTGGAGCAGGAAATCATGAAGAAGCTCTGGAAGAGGGCAGGACACACAATGAGGGAAGCACCCAACTTCACAACAAGGCAAGCCCTCACTCGGAACCTTCACGATCAAAGGAAAAGAGGAAGGGCAAAAAATACATTAAGCCAAGAAACGGAGACAGAAATGAGAAGAATGAACAACAACTGAACAGAACTGGAAAGGAAGGCCCAGGACAGAGTTGGTTGGAGAGTACTGGTCGAATGCCTATGCTCCATTTGGAATAACAGGCATAAGTGAGTAAGCAAGATCTGACTAGTTGTATATCAATATTTCAAACGAAATATAAGTATGAGTCCAATTATTTCAGACAGCTACATATCATTTTAATTCAAGCTGCTATGATTAGACATCTGTAAGATAGAGTGTATAGTATATCTTTTACTCTCCTTATCTTAATATTGTTAATATTGGTTAATTTAATTTCCTGTTTAAATATTAACTAAAACTACAACTTTTTAACAAGATTTCTTCATAAGCTGTTATGCAATCTGTCAATTATAAACTCATTGTAACTAATCATTAAGTTTGTCTAGTTCTTAGTTCGGAATGAATTTTATTTGTTCAAATCGCAATGTTAACATTAGTCCAAGCAATTCATCATGGTACGCACTATATTTTGGGTATTTGGTGATTAGAGGTAGCGTCTACAAGAAGCTCTAGATCATGGTTTCATATCGATTGGTACTTATCAGTAAGATGTACCTAAACTCTTAAAGGAGCTGAAATTTCTTGTAAGATTACTTTCCCACATAATGTGTTTGGATATTATAATTAGTAAATTCATTTTAATTGACAAGTTACGCCCTTAATCATTCATTGGGTAACTATGGCATGTAATTCTTTCTACTGAATAAAATTTAAGCACATCAAGAACTGTAACTGTAACTGATTTATTAGAAATCATCGAACCATGAATTCGGTTCATCTGTTTAGAATTTAGAAACTATAATATTAGTTATTATTATGACACCTGAGTTTATTAACTAGATATCACGTCTGTAGAAAAAACATAATTCAAGGTTGATAATGATACTCATAATTATTTTTCTAAAATGACAGCAGTTGATGGTGGTGAAGATTTTTTGACTGATGATGATTTTTGATGAAGCTTCCAGTGTCCTTCTGAACAACATTATCAGCACAAACATCAGGTAGAAGTGAGGCATTTGAACTTGTCCACTGATGACTGACAATTCGTCCTTACGACTTTGATCTTGACTGGTTATCGTTGACATTTGTTTCCTCTCATCTGCAAATACTTTTTTATTGTTTCTTCCTTTGAACTTGTTCTTAAACTTGTATTTGTCCATGAATTTCTTAACTGGCTGAAAAATCTGATCGTTTTCGGTGTGTTTATTGATCACTGATTGACCTAAGTTCCAAGCTTCCAGAAATTTTATGATCTTCCTTGTATCTCCCAGTATCCAAAATCGCGACATCTTCCCAGTTCAAGTGTTTATTCACAATTGTTTACGTGCATTGACATGAGTGAAGATAAAATACAGCATTTGATAGCTACCGGGTGTTTTTATACAGACTAAGATAAAGAGGTTCCACACTATGTCCGATGTGCTGTTTCTTACATCTGGAACAGTTAATTTTTCTGATAATGTTTGACTTTTCCTTTTTATCGTTTCAGCTTTTGGTTGTATAAATTTGACTGAGACGTAATTTGGTTGATTTATGCACTAAACCAGTCCCAAACGGCTTCAATAATTTTGTTATAATGTCTGATTTATTTTTTGTCAATAGTGGGATGATCTATTCGTCGGTCTCAAGATTTAATTTCATTTTTGCTGACGAATTTAATGAAGTCGGATGCATTTATTTTTCTAGAAATTAGTTGTTAAATATTCTTTCAACATAGTCTTTCCTATAAAATTAACCTAGTGAACTCTTGGTTTGTTAAAATTGTGTTTGAAAATTTGATCTACGTAGGTTGGTTTTTCATGCACAATTTTCCTGTGTCTGTTCTGGTGATCAACACATCCAAGAATGATAGTCTGCTGTTCAACTCTTGTTACATTGTGAATTTTAAAATGTCAAATACTTGATATTTAACTGCTGATCATCCTTTTCTTCACAGTTGACAAAACTTGTATTTGTTGATTTTTCAACGTTGTTGCGGACTTAAATCTCACTATTTTCTTATTTGCCCATTTTAACTTGTAGATAAATCTGTTGTTTTTTAAACTAAAAATTTCATTTCTATAAATTAAATGTCATCGATGGATTTCACAGTATTTTTTCTGGAATATTCATCTACCTAATCTCTGATTAGTTGATCAAATGAACAATTTTTATACATCTATCGAGTTTATAACAGTATACCTCTATGACATATTCAAACGGAATTGAAACTTATTCTATAAACATGATACAAATTTCGGATATCCCCATATTTTTTCCAAAGCAACAGTTGTAAGGATTGGAATATGATTGCTTTAAATGATTAGTAATTAGTGAAATTCATGCGAAAATTAAAATCACATTATTCTCTCACGATTGTCGTTTTTACTACAGCAAAACTCTGAATTTGTAATGTTTTTGAGTATCTCAACGTTAATTGATTAGAACTGATCTTATTATTGTATTCTAACCTGTAGATACTCATATTAATGTCGAGTCAGGAAGAAAAGTTCATTAAAAAGTAAGATTTTTTAGTGCCATTTGTCTGATTTTGCTAAATGAACGATACTCAAATTGAACACTGAACATGAGTTTGTTTTACTATTCCAAGTGAAATATACTTGTTCTAACGAAAGAAAATATTATTCAGCTACAACTTTAATTTGAGTATTTATTAGTGTATGTTGATTTAATGAATGCAATTTAGTCATGAAAATCAAGTTAATGATGTGAACCTATTAAAACTGAACAAACAACGGAATCGCAACTGGTCACCAAATTATACTATTTGCTTCAGATCGAACTAAATAAATTTCTTATAGTATAATGTATTTTACACCAGAATAAACATGATCAAATCTAATCTAAATCAGTGCACATTAAATGAAGTGAAATTATGTGTTAGGGCATGAATTTTAAACTTCTTGACTACTGGGCTTTATATCATTTTATCATAGAACTGTCAACAAGATTACTGAACATTACTGTTCATCACTTTTTTTAAAGTTCATTGTGTTGATTCATCAGTGTTATTCAGTCTAATTCATACATTAAAAATATTTGATTTCATAACTGATGACACTCAACAATTTGTTTAATAAGAATTCATTACTTATTTTCTTGTAAGTAATAAATATCCATAACTAAAAAAAGAATGATATGCTCTTGAAATGGATTATCCGCATTTAATAATGTTTGATCACAATATCTAGATGATGTGAATCCTCCCAGAGAGTATTAATAATTCCAAAGTTGATGATATTTTATATTGTTTGATACTAGTAAATATATCAGTTAAGTCAGTACTAAATTTCAGTTTAGCAGTAGACAGTTATTAAAAATACTTTGTAGCAATCTTTCAGACGTCATAATCACTAGTACAATGCATTTCTAATCATCAAAGAACTAATCTCTTTCTTTAAAGATTCATTTTTAAGTCAAGCGACACTACAGTCACAGAAT